TCAATAGGTAGAAAAGGCAAATAAACATTCAATTATTAGACTAACCAGTTCTAGTCAAGAAACTTTACATATCGACAGCTAGCTCTTTGCAACTCTCACATGGTTGCCCATGGAAGCTAAGCAGGGCTGAGCTTGGATGGGAGACCACATGGGAAAGCTCGATTGCGGCCGGAAGTCGTGGTAGTGAGACCACTTGGGGCGCTCAAACTGTGGTCTGCGTAGGTCCTAATACCCCAATATATTAATGGGGACTGTATACTGTTCAGTGAACACTGGTCTTTGGATGAGACGTTACATTGCTGTCATTGTATATCCCAGGATGTCCTTCAAAAAAGAGTAGGGGTTTAACCCCAGCATCTTGACCAAATTTGCCCACTGGTCTCTGCTCATTATGGCCTCCTAACATATCATAATTGGCTTAATCACTCTAGCTGCGTCTCAAATGGCACACTATACACTATGCATTCATGCACTATGTACTTAAGCACTTACACACTCAACAGCATAGTACATGTATGCAGTGTCATCCCAAATGGAGAACTAATGTTTTTTTACTAAGCGGAAATTAAAACCGTTTCCCTGATGACATTTGACAAATCAGTGAAATAAATGACCAAAATTTCAAATAATACCTGCCATGAGAATAACAGCATTCACCATTGGGAGGTGCTATAATCACTCTCGTTGGAGAATTTTGCTTTTACCATCCAAAAAAATAAATAAATAAAGGCTGTTTCTCAATTTCAAGAACGCAGAGAACGGACTTGCATCCTTGTGGAGACCAGTCTTGCCAGGTGTCCTTGGAAGAACGAACTCAGGAGATCGCGAGGACAGAGAACGCGTCCTTTGAGAAATGAGATGCTGCGTTCTTCCTGATGGTTTCATGACCTTCACGTGTTTAAATGGTAAATGATTTAAACAGTGCAGCGTTCATACAACAATTTTTTTTTGTTTTTCCCCTTTTCAAAAAATATACTTTGCATAAAAACTTTATAAATATACTCTGCACAATATAAATAAAACCCTTAATGTGTTTATTCCTTTATTAAGATGTTCATGGTGATGTTTACTTTATTAGGTATATAAATTATATCTCTAAACGTTAAAAATGAATCTAAATAAAATGCTGCGCTTCACACTTCCAGTCGCAATGACTTCTGGGGCTTCCAGAGCGAGTTCGGTGCTCAAGTCTGCATCGGTGCGTCCTCGATATCAAGATCACATCCAGAAAGTTTCACACATCCTCCGTACTTGCGTTCTTCAGTATTGGAACTGAACTTAGGCAGCTGATGATGACGTTGCACGAGAACACGAGGACACAAAACTGCTGAAGAACGCATACTGAGAAACAGCAAAAGTTAGCCAACATTTGGGCCCGATAGCCCCGCCCCTTCGCTACGTGAGCAAACCTGCGGTCGTTGAGTGGGTGAAGTGTCCATCATTCCACACTTTATTTTACTGGCTGAATGAGTGCATAATCACTTATTATTTTTAGAGTTTTCAGTGTGAATGCACTACTTACACTATTTACACTACAAAATGGCGTAGAATAGTGCATAAGTATGTGTCTGGCACAATATGGCTGCCGTCGTGCCATGCAAGTGGATGCTGAACATTGATGGTGGATGAGAAGAATCACCCCCAAAAATGTGTAAAGCACTTTGAGTGTCCAGAAAAGCGCTAAATAAATGTAAGGAAATATTATTATTAATTTTTATAATCAGTGTCTAATATGGACATTGGATTTGGATTTATCTCCTGGGAACCACACATGTTTAATACAAATTTAAATTTAGGGTGAGAGATTGTGAACTGGGCTGGGACATTAAGCATGGGAGGATTTCCTGTGGCAGGAAAAGAAAAAACAAGTTTGAGTGTAAGATGAACTGGACTGAGAGGGACTCATTAAACACGTGCTTTTCACAAGATAAACTGGTATGGCCTTATCACTCGCTGCTCTACCAAAGCAGGGCACGTCTCAACAGATGCTTCATGCGCACAAGAAAGTGAGCAGCACAAAAATGACGCAAATGACTCGACCCCTCTGCAAAACACGACTACTGGAAGCAAATCTGCTTGAGCAAAAAATATAAGCACGGCCTGATCCATGTCATACGGGTTGTGTACGCTGACATTTTTTAATTTAATTAGGGCTAAAAAAAATCTCATAATCAAAAAAACAGCGTACAAGCAAATGAGCACAAATAAAACACAATCATTGGGGGTATTTTGGATGTGTTTTCCCAGTACCGAAGCTCCCCAAAACACTAACAGCAGGTCTGGTTTTATTGACAGAGCTTTGTTATCCGTTAGAGATGAAATGACAGTGTTTGCCTTGAGCAAATAAGAACATCCATGTCTGTTTGCTTTCCATTGATCCTAAATTCACTTTTGGTGTCCAGTTTCTACATTTAAGTCTTATCTTTAGATTACTGAAAATAAACGACTTGCATCAGTGAAATGCAGCTGAAACTACTTTCCTTCAGTTTCCTGAAAAAATGTCAAATAAATCATCAATTTAAATCATTCATCTAATTTTTGGACATGGCTTTGCAAGCTATTTCCATCTGGCAAAGTTTGTTTTTGTGTGTAAAATAGTTTTCTGCATTTTCTAAAGAAAATGTTAAAACAAAGATTCAGATGAAAATGACCGGCACATGCTGTTGCCAAGTAGATGTCAATTACTCATCTATACACTCTCAGAAAAAAAGGTAGAAAACTTGGGGCGGTACCTTTTCAAAAGAGCCACTTTTGTACAGGTTCACATTATGGCCCGTTTCCACTGAGTGGTACAGTACAGTTCAGTTCGGTATGCTTTTACGTTTCCATTCTCAAAAGATTCCTAAAAGTGAACCATACCACTTTTTGCGTATACCCTTTGCAAAAGGTGGAGCAAAATGTGCAGCTGAACGCTAATGGTTTACAGAGATTTGTCACTCGCTTGCAACAAGCCAAAATAAAAACAAAGAAACCGCCACGTTTTAAATACACAGCCGAGACATTACATCGTAATAATATATACATATAATAACAAGCCATGGTCGACCTGAGCTCAAACATACCTTGTCGTTGTCTTGATGAACAGCCACAAAGCCAAGAAGGAGAGCAGATTCTGCCCTGTGCAAGCGGTTTTGCGCTCATGTGCGTGTCTATATTTGAAAAAACAAAATTCTTGAGCTGATGATAATAATGTGCGCCTGATTATTGAAGCACTTCTGACATTCGATCCTGTCCGAAACGAACAACGCGAGACTGATGCGCAAAAAACAAAGAGGAAGACGGAAAAAACAGGAGCAAATTATTTTTTCAGCAAACATGAACAAACTTCCATGTTTACCCTGCTGAAAAAACCAGCTTAAACCAGACTAGGCTGGTTGGCTGTTTTAGCTGGTTGACCAGCCTGGTTTTTAAAGGGGTTTTGGGGATTTCCAGGTAGGTTTCCAGCCATTTCCAGCCTGGACTTAGCTGATCAGGCTGGAAAATGACCAGCCTGGTTTAAGCTGGACATAGCTGGTTTTGGCTGGGCTTCCAGCCTGGCTAGGCTGGTCAAGCTGGTTTTATCTGGTCATCTCCCAGCCTGACCAGCTAAGACCAGGCTGGAAATGGCTGGAAACCAGCCTGGAAATGGCCAAAACCCCTCTAAAACCAGCCTGGTCGACCGGCAAAAACCAGCTAACCAGCCTAGGCTGGTTTAAGCTGTTTTTTTCAGTAGGGTAATGATTGTCATCACCTTTTGGATTATTATGAACTCGAAATGACGGAGTTACTTTCTAAAAGAGGTTACATGTGCTGCTGAAGATTAAAGAATCAGATGAGAGGTTTGCATTGACTGTAGGCCACATGTTGTGTGTTGTTTTTGAACCCAAATAAGGACTACATATATGCTGTGTTTTGTTGTAATTGGTAACATATCAGAGACTGTAAGGGTCTGTATGTGTTCATATATGTTGCATTTATTTATTTATTTTATATAATCGCAGATGTTACTGTATTGCTATTTTAACTCTTTCATTGATCTGCAATTATAATCGAATCCTGTTAATAGAAAGGTTAGTAATGAACATTTATACACAATTATTTATGTGTATAAAGCATCTATTTTGTGAGAAGTGCTTCTCGTATGATATGTGAGCGACCCGTACAGCTGTAGACATTTTCTTGAGCGAGAATAATGTTGACTGAAACTTTCTATTGTACACCACGCCCACCAAAAGGGTCTCATTGATATCCCTTCAGCAGTGGAAAAGCAAGCCTGATAAAGGTGACCTTTACCATATCGTACTGTTACTGTACCACTCAGTGGAACCAGTACCTTTAGGGTACACTCTTGATCCTTCAATTTATTACCAGTATTAATATTTACGTTAAAAGGTACAAATGTGGACATGCATGGTACAAAAGTGTACCGTTTGAAAATGTACTTTAGGTTTTGTACCTTTATTTCTGAGATTTACAGTTTTGAAATATCTTTATAAATATACCTGCAGGGTAAAAATATGGAAACATGTCTGATTGCCTAAAGCAGGGGTCCCCAAACTCTGATGTGCTACAGAATTTAGCTCCAGCTTGCCTCCAACTTCAAGTATGACTGGTAAGAGCTTGATTAGAATAAAGAGGTTTATATTTAGGTGTGCATAATTGTAGCTATAGCTAAACTTTGCAGAACATTGGCTTCCCAGAACTAAATTTTGCTTTAATACTTGAGTTATTCATAGAGGGTTACATTTTATTTGGCTGTTATTGGCTGGTTTGTTAATCAGAAAAATAAGAAAGTAAATTTTGTATTCTTCTATATTTGTTTTTTTTTTTTCATGTAAATATTTTTCTTGGTAATAAAGGGCCTTTATAGTGATACACATATCACCTTAAGTATTGTTAATTTAAAAATAGTAAGTTTAAATGTATGCATTAAATACATTATATTACTAAATAATACAATTATACTCGTTTGAATAATTTATAAACAGTTAAAATGAATGAAAGTATGCTGAGAACGATAATGACATCTTAAAACTTTTATTAAAAATGAATTCTCATACAAAAACTCTTTAAATTACATACAAAAAAGGGATATTTGCACATTTTGCACTGTTTATAATAACAGTAATATTTCACTCTGTGAAGAAACAAAACAACACACACACACAATCAACAAATTTCAGGAAGATCTCCACAAGTGAAATGTTGATCAAAATGTCTTCAGGATTAACTGCACACAGTGCAGCTTCTGGTCTCACAAATCAACGTGGTCAGGGCTCAAGTCCAAACAGACCCCAATTTTGGCACTTGGAGTGTTGAGTTCTCTTTTTTTGGCCTAATGCTCAAGTCCACAGTGAAAAAACAGCATCACTGGAGCCCTTTCTTAGGACAAGGTTTTGAGTGCATTACAGTACAGTCTTGAGTTGGGATTGCAATGCCTGATCCCTAAACAATTTTGGAAGACAAAAGAAAGACAAAAAGAAAAACATAGGAAATCTCCCTGGGAGTAGTTACACAGCAACTTGCATCCATAAAAAGTGCATTCAAATAAAAAGAAAAAAAAAAAAAACAGCCTCAACACTGTTCAAAGACAAACTGACACTGTATGATTTTTCCCTTGATGAAAAGAGTATGGTATACCACAAATCTTCTTTACATTCAATATATATATATCTCTCTGGTTAGAACACCAACCTAACCTCATGACCAAAAAACAAACAAGTTGAAGAATGTTTCTACAAATGAAATCTTCCATCCCCACAAAACAATTATGGAATGATAACGAAAACGATGCACTAAATGCTAATGGATGTCATATTGGGGGACTATTGGAAAGTACATGACCACCATTTGGGAAAGTCTACGTGTGCTTAAATGGCTATTTTGCGACACAATCAGTTTGCACCTCAGCAGTAATCTCATAGTAAGAAAGAGCAGCTCAAATATAATGAAATACAGCACACCAAACAGCCCTTGTGCCCTCTTTCAGGCCCTGAAACAGCATCGGTAATATGACAAAAACACATTTAACTTGAGTGATGCATGATATAAGATGGCTGTCAGCAATGCAGGCACAAGAGAGCTCAGACTACACGTCTTCTTCCTCTGAACTTCGACTAGCTCGTCCTGCAGAAGGTCCACTCGGGGCCCCGAAATCCTCCGCTTCATCTTTACTTTCACACATCCATACGACACTTCTCAAACAGACTTTGATCCGCATGGTGAAAGCCCGAAGAGCTTTTGAGTGGGAAAATATACCCTTTTTTACGGGCAACAGTTCAGTTCTAGTGCTCTGCTAAGGTTGGTTCAGCAGACAGGAAGCATGCGGGCGTTTGCATTGAACTCCTCCTCCACCTAAACAACAGAAGAACCAACAATTGGATTAAATTTTAATTGATTTGTAATAATGGTTGGATTACAAATGGAATGAAGATGTTTTGTCAATCTGATCAAGTGGATGATGCTAAATACAGGTGAAAAAAGGGTCTAAAATGTTTTAAGCTTATCCAATTTGGACCTCTTTCAGAATAAGATTGATTGGACTGCTTTTGTAGTTTAAATTCTAACGTGATATGGTCCGTAATGAAATAAGAAAAAAGGAAACCCCTCCAAAGAGAATAGGGAATCAAAAACACAAGTGGTCACTAAAGATTCTTTTAAATGTAGAAGTAAAATAAGTCTTGGCTGACCACTTGTAGTTAGAAATTTATGGACCAAAACAGTTGTGTTCAGGGTCAGCCATTTACCCCAATTGAATTTTGTCAATGGTCAGTGTGACTGTATATACTTGACACTCACCTCAGAATAAGCAGGGAGTGGAGGGAACTGGAACTGGGCTGCATTCATGAAGATGGGACTGTCTCCACCATCATAGTCATCCAGCAGAGGAGTAAGAGGTTGGTCTATGCAGCAATCGCGTGTAATGTCACAGTAGCTTGGTGGGGCGGATGATGGCATTCGCAGGGACACCCAGCTATTCGATGCATTGCTGATGGAACCATCCTGACTGCTCATGCTGTTGGTGCGGCTACCAAAACCATTGTAGGGCACTGTTCCAATGACCAGGGGCAGCTCCAGAATCAACTTTTCGCTGCCTGGGATGTGCATGTAAATCTGTAGATAGAGAAGAAAACTGTTTAGCACCTACTTTGTGGATGCCACAACGTCATGCAACTATAACAATGCCAAAGTGACACTCACCATAAGTGCATATTCCACTCGAATGATGTTGCAACCCAAAATGGAAGGCTTGATTTTAGGCACACGGATGCTCTTTCCCTGCCAGGCATCGCACATGCCGGAGATGATGTGGTTGCCACGCACTGAGGAGAGTTTTTGCCTGAAGACCTTGGTGCGGCCATTGGCTTGGTAGGTCTGCTTGGCCACAATGGCTGCTTTGGGTACCACGATGCGAGAGCAGGTGTTCTCAAATTTGGCATCAATGCAGATCTCTTCACCTTCACAGAAGCCACGCCTGTCAATCTTAGCGTTGAGAGAAACCTGGCCGTCAGGGATGAACATGCAGGTCACCTTCTTCTCCTTCATGCCACCAGTTGGGGACTGTTGAGGGATGGGAAAGCAAGAATGATTAACATGAACTCCAACTTCTCTAAAACAGTTTATTTTGGCATTAAAAATGATGTAAGTCAATGATCATCAGTGTCTAAAGTCTGAAAAAAGCTAATCAGGAGTGTATGTGCTTTGATAAAGGTTACTCAACCATGAGGAACTCACCAGCAAGTCTGGAGTGTTGACATCCAGTGGCTCTTCAACCTCAAAGTGTTTCTTGCACTCCAGGGCGGGCTGACAGGGTCTTTCCATCAGAGCCTTCACGTAGTACTGAACAAATCCAAACTTGCCCTTGTAAGAAGACACCAGCTGCCTGTTGGTAAAATAATAGTTTTATTTAATTGACCAAAAAAACAAACTAAAATGAATGTGTACTTTGTCAATCGAAATGCTTACCCTTGGGCTGGCAGCTCAAAGCCAAATGAATATTCATACTTGTTGCCAGGGCGGAGAATGACAGAACCATCATTGTCTGTGAAAAATAAAGATACATACATTAATTTGAAACAATTCCTTTAGATTTAAAGCACATGCTAAAAACATACCAACTTAAACATGAGCAAAATAAAATTGTTACCACTTGTTTAGATTTTTATTTAGCATTGACAAGACTTAAAACTTGAAACGAATCTCTACATTATGAATGTCACTATGCTTTAAGTTATAAGCATTTGTTGATACTGTTTTTCACTTGAAAAGATATGATAAACCACTTTCATTGGCTACCCTATTACTGTTATTTATGTTAGTTATTTAATTCATGTGATGCCACATTCCATCATCAGCACCACATCCAATCTCATCAACATAAGCAAAGCTAAATTCAAAAGCACAGATCAATCTTTTTTAACTGACCTGTTGGATGTTCGTCTAGTTGGACAACATCTTCATACTTCAGATAGTCCACTTCTTCACGGCATCTCTGCTTGCCTTTCGCGTACTCCACCTTAGCGCAACCGACTCCCAGGACCTTCATGGCCATCACTCTGGTCACCTCCGACACCTCCACCAAAACCTTTCCAGCCACTTTATCTCCACTGCAGTAAAATGTCTTGGATGGATCATTGAAGGCGATCTCGAAGACCTTCACTCTTTTTGTCATCGCCACCATTGTGATGTTACAAATTTCCAAACCAAAAAGAAAACACACGTCTCGATCTCAGCAACAAAAAGTTGGCAAATCGCTAAAATATTGAATAGTCCTTCAGAAGTGCATCCGAGCTCAATCCAAAACGAATTAAATGTGTGAATAGCAGTAAATAAGTGCTTTATGCAAATGCACTAATCACACACTCCAGGCTCGCATGGTTTGTATAGGAGCTTTGTGCACGCTGGGCTAGGCTAGGGTTTTATACTCAGACGCTTCTACCAGTGAGTCAGTAGGCTTGTTTACCACTTCAGCTGTTCATGTGGAAGTGGTATGCACAGCATGGCTCAGCGCATGCACAGCGCACCCATTGGTCGAAATTCGGTGTTTGTGTCGTCACTGGCCAATCAGCGAGCAGAAGCGGCGCGTGGACACCTCGTGGCTGAGAGCGCTGAGCGAGTGCACAGCAGCTGCAGGAAGGGAGGAGGCGGCGGAGGAGGAGTGTGGGACTTTACGATGAAGCGTCCGAACAAAGGAGCGGGATGTTGCAAGGACATGCCCAACAATTTGGAGAACCAATAAGAAATTCAACCGAAAACCTAAATACGTGCTACGTGCAGCGGTTGGATGTTGATGATCGCTTGAAGGAACAAACAGTTCAAGGAGAGAGACAGGCAGGAAGAAAGGCGGTATTCCCCGGTCTTGCTAAATTTGGGTGTGTTGAATAAAAGTGATGCCTCTGCCGGTACAAACTAGGTTAAGAGACAATGACTAATACATAAATTAGATCTTGAGTAAAAATAGTAAGCATGAGTAATAGAGTTAGACCTATATGTCAGTTACACATGTGACTTCTCTACAACGATTATTGGAGTAATAGTAATATTAAGTTATAATGTTACAGAGAAAACATTTGTATATGCTTCATTTTCTACCATATGACAGAAAAAATAGTGGCGTTTTGTTAAAGTTATGAACAATTTTGCTTAATACCATTTCACGTGGTACATTCTGTAAGATGACAAAAAGCAAATGCATGGAGCTTTGGGGCCTCGTAAACACGTGCACATTTATTGCTCAGGCTCCATCTAGTGTTTAAAGTAATATGACAATATTTGAACATGTTTTGTTAAATTATGATTAGTAACAAATTAATAAATGTTACATAAGTTTATAAATAAATTGAATTGAAATTGAATACACCTAATTAAACATGAAAAACTACCTATACTTGTTAGAAGGACAATTAAAAACAATATTGTTGCGAATGTTACTTCTCAATATAATATAATGCAATAAGCGTAATATAACGTTCGTTCATTCTTTCATTCATTCATCACTTAGACATCCACTTCTAGAATGCTATTTTAGGCTATGGGAATGTTTTTTGGTATTGAACTTGGCATTGAACTATGTGTTTGCGGGTTGAACAAACCATTGCTTCCCTCTGCTGGTCAAACTAACGTAAAACACATTTAATCATACAAAAATCTTTTTAATTAAATATTTTTTTATTAAATACAATTAATTCAAAGCACATGTATTTCTGTGGCTTTTGCAGAATTTGTTAATTATCTGAAAACTAAAATATAATACGAGATATTGTTACTTATTCATGACAAACAAATAAGTAATCTTTAATTTAAATGCATTATAGCATGGAAGCATATAGTCACTATAGCACGGAAATTCAGAACATCTTAGTCTTCATTATTTTTGTTTCTTATTAATGTTATATCCATCATTTAAAAAATTCTGTACAAAAAAAAACTACATGATTGTTGTGCTTTCAAATTAGATTTACTATTAAATAAAATTATAAATAACAAAACATCTGTTTCTATTTTAAATTTATCTTTCGCACAATTTTTTGAGGGAGGGGTATTAACATATCGCAGAGTGGAGTAGTGCAATTCTTGTGAAAGTTTTAATTTGTTTAATAATAAAGTGTTAAAGCACCTTTTGTGGGTGTTTCCTTTATGAACTTAAAAAATCAGTGTATGCAAGTAGCACATGCACAGGCAAGTGAATTTCTGGACCTCCATAAATACATCACTCAGGCTCCATCTAGTGTTTAAAGAAAAACCTCACAACAATAGTTTTAGAGAATTTGAGAATAAAATGTTTATTCTTTTCTCAGAGAGTAAACAGTATACTATATTCTATTCTTTTAAAAAGTATTTTGTTGATTCTTGGGGGAGGGAATAGGAATTGACATTTCATCCTCTACTTGGGTGGAGGGATTGCATCATATTCACTCTTGGTCTATGAATGTAAGACCACAGCATAGATTACACTATACTAAAGCCAAACTTAACAAGCTGTTTATCTCTTCTTGGTGTGATAAATGCTAAGGCGCGGTCGGGACCTATGGTCATATATTTTGGTCCTGTCCTGAAGTATCTGAATTTTGGAAAAGTATCTTCAGACTTTATTCCCAGGCTTTTGAAATGGACATTAAATTTGATGTGGAATTAGCATTGTTTGGATGTTCAGACCAGGCTCTAACTTGGCCTAAACATCAACAACTCTCCCTCATGTTTGGCATGGTGCTGGCCAAGAGAGTGATTCTGATCCGACACCTTCAAAATGGTTTTTAAATGGTTAGCTGAAATGGTTTCTGCCCTCATGCTGGAAAGGTTACTTTTCTCTAAATTTGGCAAACATAAGTTGTGCTACAAAACATGGGGCCCCTTCCATAGGTTAATAAAACATTTGTGATCGCATAATAATAGACAGTTACGTTTCACAGGACCTTGAGCAGTCTAGTATAAATAATTATTAATTTGTAAATAATCTAAATAATAAAAATAAACTATGGCTTATACTAATTGTTAAAGTATTTAAAAATAATTGGTGGGTCAGACTTAAATCACAAATTTTAGGATTAAAAGTTAAGAATTGAGGGCTGGGTTATGTTACTTCTTTATCATACATTTTTTATTAGCTTAGGTGATGCAGTGGCGCAGTAGGTAGTGCTGTTGCCTCACAGCAAGAAGGTTGCTGGTTCGAGCCTCGGATGGGTCAATTGGTGTTTCAGTGTGGAGTTTGCATGTTTTCCCTGCGTTCGCGTGGGTTTCCTCCGGGTGCTTCAGTTTCCCCCACAAGTCCAAAGACATGCTGTACAGGTGAATTGGGTCGGCTAAATTGTCCGTAGTGAATGAGTGTGTGTGGATGTTTCAGAGAGATGGGTTGCGGCTGGATAGGCATCCGCTGCGTAAAAATGTGCAGGATAAGTTGGCGGGTCATTCCGCTGTGGCGACCCCGGATTAAGAAAGGGACTAAGCCGACAAGAAAATGAATGAATAAATGTATTATTAGCTTACTTTTTTGGGTTGAAGGTTGCCTCCCTCTGCTGGTAATATTAGGCAATTTTTTTCTTTTTTAGTTCGTTTAGTTTCAAATTTCATTAGTATTATTGCTAATAATTAAAGGAGCCATGGTGCAATTTATGCTATACTTTTTGTATTTACTTAAAGCTGAATTGTGTAATAAAATAATAAAATAAAAATAACCATTAGTCTACTAACGTTATATGTTTAAAAAATCATGTAGCTTTTTTATTAAATTGGAAAAATAAATCACTCACATTGAGAATAAGAACCTTTTAGTACATTCAAATAATAATAAAAAAACAATGGTGTCATTAAAACGTTGAAACTAAAGTTTAATTAACGTCAGATTATAATTAAAATAATTTTTGAGTAACTTGCTGGTAAACACATGTCGGTGCATCACATTTTGCGATTATATTTAGCCAATCATTACTGGATATTAGTGTCGTGTTCGCGTTTTGTATTAGTAAAAAGCGGGGCTTGTACGAAGTTGTTTAAGGTTCCCTGTTCATTGATTTAAAAAGAAAGATATCAAATTAAACTTAACTGTTTCCAGTAGTAACGGCAGAGTGTAATACTTCCAGGTTAAAAGTCAGTTAAAAGTCTCTTAAACATGGCTGCTCCCTTGGAGTTGTTCTGTTGGAAAGGCGACTATGGATTACCTTCAGTAGACGTCGACTGTTTAGCCGTACTGGTAAGGGAAAATCTGGTCGGATGTTATAGTAGTTTTCGCTGTTTTATGTGTTTCGGTATATGCCGTAAATGTGTTGTTATTGGAGGTCAGGAGAGATGAGGTGACTTACAGCACGCCTGACAGATGCTGTCAAACCCATTCACGTTTGAATGGACTCTTTTTTATTGTGTGTATTCAGTACATTAGATATTGAATTTGAATTTCCAGTAATATTTAGGAGCTATTGTCCGATTGTTGATGGTTATGGTAATGATAGTCGTGTAATTGAGATTAAATTTGATCAGATACACTAAATTAGGTCTACAGTATGTTAATACAGTTACATTCATGTTACTTCATTGTCAAAAACTTAATCTTATTTTTGATTTTATTATAGTGATAGATTACATAATTTTAAATATTTCCTCATTTTAACAATTACAGTGTTTTGTGCAAAATATAGAAATATATATTTTATGTTATTTTAAAGCTTCAAACTAAAATACATTTTAAAAATATCTTTAATTAAATATGTAGGACATTTAGTGTCAGAATCATTTTTTGCTTATTATTTTTCTTGTATAATTTTTACAAGAATGGCTTAGTTATTGAAAGGTTACTACAGTTGAAGTCAGAATTTTTAGGCCCCCTTTGAATTTTGTTTTCTTTTTTAAATATTTCCCAAATTATTTTTAACAGAGCAAGGAAATTTTCACAGTATCTCTGATAATATTTTTTCTTCTAGAGGAAGGCTTATTTGTTTTATTTTGGCTAGAATAAAATCAGTTTTTAATGTTGACAATTATTAGCTCCTGCTATATTTTTCTCGATATTCTAAAGAACAAACCATCGTTATTCAATAACTTGCCTAATTACTCTCACTTGGCTAGTTTACCTAATTAACCTAGTAAAGCCTTTAAATGTCACTTTAAGCTGTATAGAAGTGTCTTGAAAAATATCTAGTAAAATATTATGTGCTGTCATCATGGCAAAGATAAAATAAATCAGTTATTAGAGGTGAGTTATTAGAACTATTATGCTTAGAAATATGTAGAAAAAAATCTCTCCGTTAAACAGAAATTGGGGAAAAAATATAAAAGGGGGCTAATAGTTCTGACTTTAACTGTACATCACAAAATTAATATTTTTAACAGTATTTACTTGCCCTCATGACTTTCTCAACTCATAAAACTTTTGTTTTATGGCATTTTTTTATGCCATAAAACTTTTTTTTATGGCATTTAATATAATATCTGAGGCGGGTTACATTTTTTTAAAGATGTCATTCTTTAATACTGAGTATGAATAATTTATTACTATTTGTTTTGGGTAGTTCAGTTGCATAAAATGCTGCATAATTAATTGTAATAAGTGGGGTTTACCTTTAGGCAAAATCCACTATTGTTATTCTCCATACTTATTATTCTTACTATAATTATTGTGTAACGAAGACATCTTAAAATAAAGTGGTTCTTCAGATTTTCAAAATTTATTTATGTGAATAAATAAAAAATTATCATAATAAAGATAAATATAAGAAATAATTTTGGCTTTTACTTACATGTAAACATTGTAGGGTGTAGTTTTGTTAATCAATTTAATGTATCAAACTTAAACATTTGTATCATGGTTTCAACAAAGATATTAGGCAGAAGTAATGTTTGATTATAAATGAATAATAACATGGATTTTGAGCAGCAAATCAGTAAATTAAGATGATTTCTGAAGGATTGTGATTAAACTCGAAAAATGATGCTGGGAATTGAGCTTTGCATTACTGTAATACATTACACACTGATGTATAAAAAGGTGGTTATATTACATTAGTAATATTGTGAAGTGTTTGTACATTTTTTTATAGTTTTGATTCTATTTTAATAGAATTAATTTGGCTTTTTATAAAATGTAATTATTGAATTACTCCAAAGTTGAAGCACTTAAAAACGTTTAAATGCAGGCAACGCACCGTCATTTTTAGTAGGCTAGCACAGAAACTCCATTGAAAATACAGGGGTAATTTATTTTTATTTATTTTTTTATACTTTTATTTTAAGGTTTTTCAAGTAAAACAGAAAACAACAAACAATATCGTCTCAGAACATACACACTTGGCAAGTAAATAAATGAATTGCCGTACATGTGGGTTTAGCCGTACATTCGGCTAAATAGTCCTATAAGTCCTATAAGGTAGTGTGCCAGTCAGTTTTCATGAAGGGTGATGGAATTGGATTGACCACGTTTCAGGTCTAAGTATGCAAGAAAGGGTTCCCAGGTAGCAAAGAACTTTTTGTTGGAATTAGACCTGATAAATCTAAGCCTTTCCAAGTGGATAATGGAGGCCATATCCATTAGCCAGGTTCGAAAAGAAAGAGGTAAAGGACATTTCCAGTTTTTTAGTATTAGCCGCTTGGCCACAGTCATGCCTAGAGTAAGGGCTTGTTGTAGATGTTTTGGAAAGGTGAGGGAGTGTTCTGAAACACCAAAAATAGCAAGCTCTGTGTCCGGTTGGAAGGAAACATTATAGGCCTTGGAGTATAAATCAAAAATATTTGTCCAAAAATTAAACAAAGTAGGGCATAACCAAAATGCATGGGCTGTGGTGTCCTCTGTAATTGGACACTTGTCACACATAGGTGAAATAGAAGGAAAAATTTTGTGTAATTTGGTTTTTGTGTAGTGCAGGCGATGCATAACTTTGAACTTTATTAACTGGTGTCTACTGTTAACCGAACAGTCAGGCACTTATCCCATAGTTCCTATGATATCTCAGTTCCAAGTTCATCCTCCCATGGATTCCATTTTAAATTTCTCATAAGAAGTTGAGGCAAAGGTTTCAAACAACCCAACAAGCTTTGAAATGGGATGAATGGACTAGGGGGGGTTCATGAAGACATCAAAAAACACATGCTTATCAGAGATACATTCAAAATTACAAATTACACATAGTGTCTTACTTGCAAGTAACGAAAAAAATGTGAATGTGGTAAATTAAACTTTTCTCTCAACTTGCTGAATGATGCAAATCTCTCTTAAAATACTGGGGAAAAATTAAAATTAATTTCAATATTTTAAAGACATGGTGCAGAAAAATATAATTTAATGCAGTACTTCTTGTTTGATCTAATACCGACTTCAATAATTTGATTAAGATAATTCGCTAACTATGACAGTCATTCATTCATTCATTCATTTTCTTGTCGGCTTAGTCCCTTTATTAATCCGGGGTCGCCACAGCGGAATGAACCACCAACTTATCCAGCAAGTTTTTACACAGCAGATGCCCTTCCAGCCGCAACCCATCTCTGGGAAACATCCAAACACACATTCACACAAACACTCATACTGTAGCAGCCTTCCATTGCTGTTATCGCCAGAAATGGGGCTGAGCACGTATTTCACGCGTGCAATCAGAGTCCATGCATGCTAAAGTTGTTTTTAAGCAGAATGTCTTTATTTGTGCAGGTGAATTAAACAAAGCCTCTATCTTTGCTTCTCCTTTCTTCTTTATCATGTCAATATAACATTCACTCCATGTATACACAGCACATATCTAAACACTGCTGTTTTCTGGCTAGCAAACACGTTACTCTGTAGCACGGTCAAAAACCGTGTGCTTTGCCATACCTGACGCTCTTCCTCGCTTACACAGGCACCTCAGTTATAGTTTTCAGTTAGTGACACCTAGTGGACAACATAAATCACTACAACACAAAAAATGGCTCCTACACACCGGCCCCTTAATTGATTATGGTAATTAACATAACAATTACAAATATTACGTAAAGGAGCCATAACAAATATTGAAGCACCACATGACTCAGACTGTAACAGTCCACATTAGTCATTTACCTCCAGCAACAGACAAAGCTTTCTTACTGGTCTTACTGGTCGTTCTAAAATACTACTCTTGGTTTTAACCAGGTTCGTACCAGTTCGTACCAGGCCCTTATCATCTGAAAAGGTTTCTAATACTCGACCAAGTGGCCATGAGCCACGAGGCGCAGTAGGATCCAGTAAAAGTACAATGTCCCCTGTACTAAAACTTCGACGTTCCTTTGTCCATTTTTGACGTTTTTGGAGTAGAGGAAGATACTCCCGTATCCATCTTTTCCAGAAAAGATCAGCTAGGTACTGCACTTGTTTCCATCTTCTTTTCACATAGAGATCTGTTCTTTCAAAAAGACCTGGTGGTAAAGCAGGCTTGCCTTTCATGAGAAGCAGATGATTTGGAGTAAGAGCTTCAAGGTCATTGGGATCACTGGATACCTTGGTAATGGGACGATCATTTAGGATTGATTCTACTTCACACAGAATGGTATGAAAGGATTCGTCATCCAGTGTTTGTTGGCGAAGTACAGAGCAAAGAATGTTTCTCACCATCCGAATAATGCGCTCCCATGCACCTCCATAATGGGATCCAGCCGGTGGATTGAAGCTCCACTGAACACCTACTTGAAGTAACTCCTTTTCAATTTGCTTGTCGTTCCATGCAAAAATGGCCTCTTTTAACTCTCTGTTGGCACCAATGAAGTTTGTCCCATTATCTGACCTGATGTGTACTACTTGACCTCTACGAGAAATAAATCTTCGTAGAGCATTTATACATCCATCTGTGTCCAAAGAATAGGCTACTTCCAAGTGCACCGCTCTACTTGCCATACAAGTAAAAATCACTCCGTATCGTTTTACTGTACTACGTCCTCTTCTAACTTCGATAGGACCGAAGTAATCCACACCAGTATTTGTGAAAGGTGGAAGATCAGGTGTAATTCGTTCAAGAGGTAGGTCAGACATCTTTTGTTCGCCCGTCTTTCCTTTGTAACGTCTACATACAATACATTTGGAAATGACTTTTCTTGCAGCAGCATTAGCGTTTATAATCCAATATGTTTGTCTGAGTTTGGACAACATATGATTCCTACCACAATGACCCAATTGGTCATGAATGTGACGAAGTAGAAGATTTGACACATGGTGATTTTTGGACAAAATGATGGGATGTTTGGCTTCGATAGGCATGG